GCCGCCAACTGGTCGTCCAGTGTCAGCCGTGGGTCCAGGAGGACCCCCAAGTTGCGAACCCTCTCCGAGGGGGCCAGGGTTTCGCCCCCTATAGTCAGCGATGGAATCAGCTGACCATACCTGGGAGCCGGCAGCCACAACCACTCAGTCTTGGAAGGGTTGAGCCTGAGTCTGTTTCTCCCCATCCAGACCCGTAGTTATTTTCTGTTCCTTTGCATTACAAAAAATAAAATAAATGTTATTACACTGTTCCAAATGAAATGCAAAATGCCCATCATCCTCACTGTCCTCACATATTTTAGGTACTGCTAAAAGTATCAAATAGGGAACTTAGATTAAATTACTATATCAATAACTTACAGATGAAAAATACTTATTGTTCTTCTGTAATCTATCAGCCCTTTAAAATAAATAGGTTTCAAATATATTCAAGAGTATTCTTTCTCTACCATCCCATTGCTCATATACTTCATAATCATTCTTTAGAGTATTAAAATTTCCATATCTGGAAATGTAATCATAACACGCTTATAAGAGTTTAAAAAGAATTGCTGAATTCAAGCAGGACTCCAGCAAGTTCATTCTTGGGTCTTGAATCACTGCTCACCCATGAAACATCCAAGACTTATTTGGAGTTTACAAAGGATATGAAGAGCTTCACGTCATATGATAGGGAACACCACTTCATTCCCTTTTTTTCTTATTATCTCTGCTTGCTATTGCTCAGAAAGAGTAGGTACTCACTTAATTTGCTAATAACAGGAAGAAGTTTGCCCCACGTTTGCAAATATTCAGCTCGGAATCCATCCAAAGAAAACAGCAACACTGGAGGTTTTGTAAATCTGAGTGGGAAACATTAGAACAGTTAAGGTAAGCATCTAATAATTATTCATTTATTTTCTACATGCTATAGATTAAAGGCCTCTTCCTCCATGTGACCATAAGCATGTGGCAAAAGAAAGGAAAACCACATCAAAACTCACTATTCATTTACATCAGCTGTCTTTAGCCTGATGCCCTCTTAAAAACCTGAACCTCAGCTGCCAGAACAATGGGAGCTATAGGACAGTGATGGCAAACCTTTTAGAGACCGAGTAGCCAAACTGCAACCCAAAACCCACTTATGCATTGTCAGGTGCCGGGTGGGTGTGGCCCTTGGCTGGGTGTGGCCAATTGGGGGTGTGGCCCGTTGGGTGGGCGTGGCTGCTGTGGTAACGGCAGACTGGGTGGGATTAAAAAGTTCAATCAATCAATTCCAACTTTGCAAGGTCTTTTTTTTCTCTGCAAGAAGTTGAAATTGACTGATTGATTGAACCTAAAGCAAAAAGGTTTTATAAAACCCAGCTGAAGGCCTAGGACTGGGGCGACAGCGCGCGTGCCCACAGAGAGGGCTCTGAGTGCCGTCTCTGGCACCCGTGCCATAGGTTCGCCACCACTGCTATAGGAGATAAGAGCCACATTTTTTATAGCACTAAGCTGGGAAGCTGCAGTATAGACTTTGCCAATCTACACAAAATTCTACCCGAGAGGGAGGAAGTAAGTTTCTTTATTTAGAGCAAATATCTTCCCCACAAACGTGGACAGTGAGGAAAGAAGAAGCTGTAGCAACAATTATGGGGATGAAAAATATAATGTGAATTTGTGCACACACAAATAGGGCTTACAGTATATAAATATGTACACAGAGGTAAATCAGGCAATGGCAACTGGGACTGGAATTTCCATCACTAAGCAACATGGTCATAAAGTGCAACATCGTGTGGCTGCACCATTTAGTGACAGC